TATTGTTCCTTGGTGTTTGCGGATTCTGCAGTTGGGCAGTGTCTGCAGGCAGCTTCTTCTAGTTGCCGTTTCATGTCAGATTTGTTGGTTTTCCAGGGGGTGGGAAGGGGGATTGGTGGTATTCCCAGAAGGGTCGTGCCAGGGCCCTGGGTTCCTCCCGTCGTGGTAGGCAGGTGGTGCCAGTTTTAGAGCCAGCGCCGCCTTCAGACTCAACTTCGTCTGGTCGGTGCAGTGATCGCTCTGCTTGTACGTCGGGTTTTCACAAGGAGCGTTGGCCCTTTTGCGATTTGTCCCATTGATGGGGCAATGGGGGAAAGGGGAGACTCGTGCTGTGCGCTCATGCCTGGTCTCATTTTTGGGCTTTTCAGGTCGTTTCCGACGGCCTGTGGTGGCATTAGGTGGCCCCCCCTCCTCCTCCTTCGGGGGGGGTTCAGGGCTTACAGGGCAGGCCTATTTTCCTGCGCTCTGTCAGGTCATTTCGGAGTTGGTGCGCTTGGGCGTGGTCAAAACAACGACGTCCCTCAGATGGGTTTCCTGTCTGTTTCCAGTCCCGTGTGTGTGGACCTAAGGTTCATTCTGGACTTGTCCTGCCTGAACCCCTGGGTCTATTACCCTTCTTTCCAGATTACTATTCTATTCGAGGTCTGGCTTCTCTTGGAGCCAGGCACTTCGATGGTGTCCCTGGACCTCCGGGACGCATATTGGCACATCCTGATTCATCCAGGGTTCAGGAACTGGCTCGATTTGTTGTGGGGCATCTCGGTTACCACTTTTGTTGCCTTTCATTCGACATGAATCTGGCACCTCGCATGTTCACACGCCTTACCCGGGTCATGGTGGCCCATTTGCATCTCTTAGGCGTTTGGGTTCTGGCCTACCTCGATGACTGGTTGGTGTGGGCTCCCAGTCAGTCTGCTTGTCTGCTCGCCAGGGATTTGGTTCTTTCCCAGCTCACTGGGTTTGGGTTCTTGTTGAACTGGAGGAAGTTCCATTTGGTTCCCTCTCAGGTACAGTCTTGGCTGGACCTTGTGTGGGACTCTCTGACCGCTTCCTTGTCTCTCCCTCGGCTGCAGTCCTGCCTTCGCCTGTTTCTGGGGGCTCCCATGTCACCCGACTGTTGCTTGAGGGTTTGTGCAGAAGCCGGAACTTTTGCCGTGATGGTCTAACCGCTGGGTCAGCTTGGCTTCGTCGGCTGTTTCAGTTCCTACGCGGACGTCCTTCCGCCTCTCTCATGGTCGCTGGGTTCGGGCTTTGGGTGCCTTGCATCGGCTGCTGCGTCGCCGGCTTCCTCTTCAGGTTTTCAGGGCTCAGTGTCTTGGCACCTACCCGACCCCTCTCTCAGTGTGTTAACGGACGTGTCATCTCTTGGCTGGGACTTTGTGACCAGTGCTCACCAGGTCGGCCAGGGGCAGTGGGGTCCATCCTTCCGTCGGGTACACAGCATAGTGCGTGAGTTTGCTGCAAGGTGGGAGTCGCTTCAGAGGGTTCGGGTTGCTCACGGATCAACGATCTGGCTCCATTTGGACTGCTCCCCGGTGGTTCATTGCCTGAACCAAGGGGGGTTCGATGCAGTCCTTGGCTCTTTGGGGCGGGTCGCATCGGGTGACTTGTCTGCTGAGTTTTCGGGGTTTGACTTCCCTGGTCGTACACTTTCAGGGTGTGTCCAACATCCTGGTGGATGGCCTGTCTCAGTTCATTCCGCTGTCCTCGGAATGGTCGGTTGATGCCGACTCATTCAGTTGGCTCTGCCGGATGAACGTGCTCCCGGAGGTGGACCTCTTCATGTTGGTGTTGTTGAGGTGTCTCCCATTGTATGTGGCACCCTTTCCCGACTGCAAGGCCATCGGGGTCAATGCCTTGTGACAGGACTGGTCAAGGTGGGGTTACATGTATTTCTTCTTCCCTGGTTCAGCTGTTGCTCCATATCCTAACTTGCTTGGAGACTTATCTAGGGAGAGTAGTCCTTTTGGCTCCTTGGTGGCTGGCTCAGCCTTGGTTTCAGGTGCTGCTTGCTTCGTGTCCGAACCCGGGGTTCTTCCCGCAGCTCTTCCTCTTTCAGCAGATTGAACCAGTCTGTTACAAGGCGGGTTCAATCTTTTCCTCGAGTCTTCACATATGGTCTTCTTGACTCGAGTCTATCACCCCTTGTGTGATGAGCAGGTGGCTTCATTGTTGATGTCCCACCTTTGTCTCGGCGGCACCTTTGTTTCGTGTGCTTTGTCTCGGTGGCACCTTTGTTTCATGTGCTTCGTCTCGGCGGCAGTGTGAAGTTTCCTGGACGTCCTTCCATTATTTCTTGTTTCTTCCCCAGTTTACTTCGGTCTCTGTTCGGGTTGTCTTGTCCTGTCTCTCGTGGCTGTTTCAGGACCGTCATCTTACGCTGAATACTGTCGCCTTGTATTGTGCGGTGCTGGCGGAGCCTCTGCAGCTTGCATTAAGCATTGATGTTACTTCTGCCCCATTCCGCAAGCTGTCTCAGGCGTTGTTTCATTTCCGGCCTGTTAATGCACCGCCTGAGTTGTACTGGTCTTTGGATTGGGTGCTTTCTTTTCTCTTTTCTTCTTGGTTTGTGGTGGCCCCATTGGTTCAGGATTGTTTGGCAAAGGCTCTTTTCTTGTTGGCATTGGTCTCTGGGGGTCTGCAGCTCATTTGCAGTCATCTGCTTCTTTTCTGGTGAAGAATGAGACTGCTGCTTTCCAGAGGGGTCCCTTGGGTTGTTGATGCTTGGTTGGTCAGGCCGGGGGGTGCATCATGTTTTGTGTCCGGTTGCGGCTCTCCGCCATTACCTGCGCACCACGGCCTCGGTGATCAGGGACGCGCTTTGTGTTAACCCAGTTATCTTTTTTCTCTGTTCCAGGGATGGGGTCTCACAGGTCATCTGCAGGGTTATTTGGTCCACCCAGCTTGTGGTCTATCCTCGTGCCCACGACGTTCATATGTTTGCTGCGCTGGCTGCCGTCTGCGGTAACATGTCTTGGGCTGACATTTGGGCACGGGGTTTTTGGAGGTCGAACAGGGTCCTGGCCGCTCGCTACCTTGTTAACATTCCAGGGCCTAGTTGGGCCTGCTTCGCATTAGGTCGGTGGTTGCAGCCAGTTGTCTCGACTTCGAGTTGAGGAGCGAGGGCTGACCGTATCCCGGGCAAGTCCTCTCTTGTTTTTGTCTTTGGGTAAGTAGCTCCAGGGAGTCATAGTTCTCCCCCAGAAAACCAGCATTGAATGTAATGAAACGGCATTTTCTGGGTGAGACCCGGAGGTTCTCTGGCAAACCTCCCTCCCTCTGGTCAACTTTTTTTTCGCAGTTTTGACATCCAGCCTCAGAACTGCAGGGTGGATAGTCGGCACAAGGGTCTGGGGCTTCTCCTTCCTCCTCCCGGGGAGGGGGGTTGTGCAGATAGTGGAGTGGCGACGTGGTGATTTCATGCTTGTTTACATTTCGGTTGTTTTGTCCACTAGTTCAGCTTTCAGTAACAATAGTTTAACCAGAATAGGGGTTTGTTTTGGAATGCTTACCTTTCTGGGTGCCTGACCCGGTTGATTGCAGACATAGAATGCTTTCAACCACACGAGGGTTTCTATACGCCATCGCCCCTCATGCCTCTGAGGGGGGGGGGCTAGGTTCTGGCTCATGGTCCCCGGTAGGCCTAAGATCTCCATTCACTTTGACTGATGCCAGGGTCTAATGCATTCATGTCAGCCCAGATAGCTCCAGATAGCCTCTGGGTCTCACCAAGAAAATGGCGTTTCATTACATTCAATGCTGGGTTTTTTGTCCGTTGTTGTTTTTGGATGCCACTGTGACTATCTGTGAGGAACCCCTTCGGCTTCCTGGAGGTATCAGGCTAATGTGTGATATATTAGACCGGGGCATTAGTCTAAGGAGTTCGACCTACCGGGGACCACTAGCCAGAACCTGGCCCTCCCTGAGAGAGGGGAATAGCTCACACGCCACCAGTAGAGTGTCCTTGCCACAAGGCGCACAAACTGAGAGAAAATCTGGAGCCAGAGGCATATGACTTGCCAATATTACATCAGCCAAGAACTGACGGTTGGATCACCGGCGAGAGGGTCTGGGGCTCCCCCCTTCCCCCTCCCAGGGAGGGGGGTGGATGGGTTGCTCAAACAGCGGCGTGACAACGAGATGATGTCATGCTCATTTGATAATTTTTATTAGAGAGTTCTCTCCACTCGTTTGGCTTTCGGTGGCAATATTTACAGTATTTACACCAGAATAGGGGTTTGTTTTGGAGTGCCTACCTTTCTGGGTGCCAGACACGGTTGATGGCAGATATAGAATGCTCCCAATCACTGAGGATTTCTATAGGCCATTGCTCCTCATGCCTCTCTGAGAGGGCCAGGTTCTGGCTCCTGGTCCCCGGTAGGCAAGAACTCCATATACTTTGACTGATGCCAGAAAGTTAATATACACATCAGCCTGGAGAGCTCTAGGGAGCCAACGGGGGTCCCCCCCAGAAACGGGTAACACAGGTAAATTGCAGGTGTAACTGGACTGTGGTACAAAAATTTATTAATGGATGTTACTGGAATGAAATTTGGCTAACTCGAATATTCAGCTAATTCCAATTGGGGTGAGTTCCATATGATATGGATTACTCTGCACAGACAGTACTTCTATTTTACACTTACTTCCTCACCGTCTTCTTTCATATACATTTATTATAGAAGTTACAGTATTTAATTTATGCAGTCATAATTCTACATTCATATTCTAAAGGTAAAGGTTTAGCACACACAAGTTAATTATGACTTGGTTACAAAAGATTTTTTCTAAATAACTTTTCTTAACATTGAACATAATAGCGTACAAGAAAATGTTCAAATATGAAGGTCAAGATGGAAACATAATAAATTAAAGCAAAATCTACAACTCAAGCATATAAGCCACTTCAATAAATATATAGTACAGTATTTAAAGTATCTCACACTTGAACATGGGCAAATTTTTAAGTACAAAGTTTAATTCTACTTAAAATGATTTACCTTGAAGTCAGGAAATTTTATAACATCTTTAAGGAAAATTTTGGCAGGACAATCAACTTTCTTCGATACATGACCACAAGACTCCTCTTCTTTCACTAGCACATTCTAAGAGATAAACAAACATATTGTTAGAGTCACATCAACAATGGTTGTCAATGGCTCAATGCATAAATCAAATTAAATGTTTACATATATATTGTTACACTAATCTCCTGCTTAAGCAGAAGATCCTGCCTGTTCCCTTTACTGTCTATTCACCAACGTATCTGCATGCTCCAACATAAGGAATCAACATCAACAATACGTGCTCAGATGCCTCAGTGTCTAGACAGACACCCTACTCCCCCTCCACTCTATAGTACCCAAGACACCTGGCACCTGCAGAGACCCAGCGCCACTCACCCAGCCTAATTGGTTGTTTATTTACTGGCCGATGGTTACCCACGACATCAGCGCCGTCTATGGTGGCCTGGCCCCCATATATGAGGAGCTCCCCAACGTCCAGTCCTCAGAATATACTTCGTGCTCCCAAGCAGTAACACATAATGTCGCCTCCCCAGGAAACAGTAGATGCGTACAGCTTTTGTATATTGTATTAATTGCACCTCTCTGCTTAACATAATAACTCGCCTGTGTTTATATTTCTTTTACATACTATATCGTGTTTTTGCCAAGTGGATAAGGGGCTTTGTTTTAGTTGTTATTAACACTTTCGCGCTCTCGGCGAAGGTCACTCAGCCAACTGTATGTGCGAGCGGCGTTTTTATCGCTTAAGCGTAAAAACAAAAATGTGTATACTCTTTTTACTCTTCTGACCTTAGTTCTCATGCTACGTATTTCATTTTGGTACCAACGTGTTCGCAATAAAATTCTCTAGAAGAACATTAGTAAAAAAAAGTCACGAAAGCTATAGAGATACCAGCACGAAATAAATAACTACGAAGATGAGTCGCCGTGAGCGCCCAACAGCAACAAAATGTTTTTACTCTTGGGATTATTATCACCTCTACAATTGTCCTACAGCCTTAATTTTGGTATCAATGGACTCCCAATGAAATTCCCAACACGGTGATATGAATATAATCGTAGAATAATGGTCGCGGCCCACCCGCAAGAGTGTGGGAAGTGGGCGCACTGTTACCCGGTAACGGTGACCGGACGACACACGCGCAAAACGTTGCTTTGAAAGTTTATACTTATTTCACTGTTCTGATATTATTATTGTATGTATGTCATTCATTTTTGTGGCAATGTGTTCGCAATAGAATGTTCTATGAGCTAAATTATACTACACAAACTTGGACCAAATAGGTGTACTTACCAAGGGAAGGCCAGTTGTGGAACAGTAAGTTGAGCATTTGTTCTTCACTCCACCTTCTTCAGGTTCTTCATTCCTGAAGTTGCTCAACAGATGGTTTGTAGGTGGAGTGAAGCTGTTGCTGGTGGTTACTTCTTCACCACCCAATACACCGTTTTCCGGTGGTAATTGGTGTAGCAGGGAATAACACAGAGTGCAACACCACAGGTCCTGCATCCTATGTTCGTGTCCTTCCTTTTACCGGACCGTGCGCATGCATGACACTTGAGACGTTTGGCCAGTCTGTAAATTTCATGTTTCAGTTTTGTGTTCATGCAATTTTCTGAATCAACAATACGACCAAGTTTTCTCGCTGGAGGTGTAACATTTGCAGGAGAGTCAGATTCATCTGACAAAACAGTTTCGTCAACTGGCAGTGTGGCAGACATGTCGGGTTCAGATTTGGTGTCTGCTTCATCTTGAGGTGGTGTAGTAAACAAAGGCCGCCTCACACCAGATGGTCCGGGAGTTGGCATGGCGTCTGCATTGGCAGGAGCTGTGTCATCATTTATGTCTGGAGCGTGCCGCAAGTATTGAGATGATGTTGTTTTAGGCCACTCCTCTGTGTCCCAGTTCAATAGGGCCCAGATTGCCACTTCGTGGAACTGTAGCAATGTTAGCTTTTTTCGATCAGTTGTGTTGTATTTGTACAAAACATAGGAATTATGCAATGCCATTTGCAGGAAATAAAAGGTAATCTTTTTGGTCCACTTGTGAGTTTTCCTGGTAAAATGGTAATATTTAACCATTTGATCGAAGTGGTAAACACCTTTCATGAACTTATTGTACTCGCAAATTGCAGTAGGTTTGTTCACTGTTACCTGTTGTATTCCACTTGTTCCGTCTCGGTTGCGAATTCGTTTCCTTCGCTGAACTCGCTGAGTGTCTGCATTGTGGATGTTGGTAATTATTGAGACTACTCACTTGTCTTTCCACAGGAGAATGAGGGTGTTATCTTTGCGGCGGTATACGGTGGTATCCAGTGGAAGTTTACCCTTGGCTAAAGCTTGCAATACCTTTGGGGCGCCACGTAGCATTCTAATTGTGCCACATGTGTACACCCCAAGTTCTCTCAATGTTTCTGTCAGGGTAACCGAGTTGTAGTAATTATCCATGTACAAATGGTAACCCTTGTTCACTAAAGGCTGCATCAACCCCGTTACTGTATCCACTATCGTCTTACCAATACCTGAGTATACGTCAAAGTCATATATGTACCCAGAGACAGATTCAGCAAGCATATAAAGTTTCACACCATACTTGTCTGGTTTGTTTGGATTGTACACTTTGAAGGATAGTCGGCCTCGCCATGCCATTGTACCCTCATCCAAACAAAACTCTTTCTTGGGGATGTAAACTTGAGCAAACCTGTCTTTCAAGTAATCCATCACTGGCCTCACTTTTATCAACTTATCACGATTGTTCACGGGCACTGCATTGGTATTGAATGTGTGGAAAAACTGGTTTATATGCTGGAATCGTCTGGACGTCATGAACAAGCTGAAGAAACGTGCATGCCATGGCTTTGCTGTTTGCCAATACATCCTCATAGTTGGGAGCCTAATTATGCCCATCAATATGAACAGTCCTAGGAATCGTGCCATTTCACTCACCTTCACTGGGTTCCAAATATCTGATACATTTTCATTGGCCATCCGGAATAACTGCGAGGCGTACAAATTTGTTTCAACGGTCAAGAACTCAAGGAGGGCACGCGTGATGAACAATTGAATATAAGCCAGTGCACTAGTAGGCTTGGGAATTTTCAGTCCAGGAATTCCAGTAAAATCATCAACAACTGGAGGAGTATTGCTACGACTCCAGCCCTCACCAGCCCCAGCCTGCCGAGTACGTACTGTACGTGTACGCCTTTCAGGAGGCTCGAATGAATCCTCATCACTTATACTTTCAGAATCACTTGGCGCAATTTGTCGTGTGTTCCTACGACGAGCAACATTTCTGGTAGCTACTTTTCTAGGTAGCCTAGATGCACCACGTGTGCGCCGAGATGGAGGAGGAGGAGGGGGTCGCGGAGCCTCCTCTTCCTAGGTGAGGGCCTCAGTCTCCTCATCACTCGTTGCCGTATCATTCCCTCTAGGTCTAGGTCCACTATAATCGTTGTGGGTTCCAAAATCTTCCTCCAATACCTCTACATCACCTTCAGCTTCTGATAAATCCTCCACAAGGCCTGGAATTTTCGTTGGTGTGAGCTTCACTCCGCTCCACTTTTTAAAAATCTGGGTTATTTTGTCCACTCTCGATGACCTGGAGGCTTCCTTGGGCGTAGAAGTGCTTGGGCCTTGACCTTGATCCATTTTTGATGAAGTAATTGGGTATAATCCACACGGAAACGGGTAAAAATGCTCGAGTTTGGCGCGCGAGGGGAGCGTGATCGACTCACGACACGTGACACGAAAACAATGGGCCCGTCACGTGACCGGGTAGCCCGACGCGCGGGGCGGCCTAGTGGCGAGAAAGAGAACTTCATGGCGCGTCGTTTGAAACAAACCCCAATGAAATTGGATTAAAATTGAATTTTATACAAATATTTTAAAAGAGGACATAACTTTATGTCCACTATGCGGGAGCGGGTAGGCGAAACAGGACGCCGGGAGGCGTCCTCATCCTCAGAAAGTGTTAAGAAACAAATCTGGGTCACAGGTCTGTGGAGTGTGGTTTGGCTTACGGAGTCAGCCGGTCCCTCCCCCACCACCGACACACCTCCCCCACCCCCCACCCCAAACCCATACACACACTCTCAAAGGTCACGTGGTCCTTCCCAGCCTGCCTGCCTGCCTGCCTGCCTCCTTCCCAGCCTGCCTGCCTGCCTGCCTCCTTCCCAGCCTGCCTGCCTGCCTGCCTGCCTCCTTCCCAGCCTGCCTGCCTGCCTGCCTGCCTCCTTCCCAGCCTGCCTGCCTGCCTGCCTCCTTCCCAGCCTGCCTGCCTACCTCCTTCCCAGCCTACCTGCCTCCTTCCCAGCCTGCCTGCCTGCCTCCTTCCCAGCCTGCCTGCCTGCCTCCTTCCCAGTCTGCCTGCCTGCCTGCCTGCCTCCTTCCCAGCCTGCCTGCCTGCCTGCCTCCTTCCCAGCCTGCCTGCCTACCTCCTTCCCAGCCTACCTGCCTCCTTCCCAGCCTGCCTGCCTGCCTCCTTCCCAGCCTGCCTGCCTGCCTCCTTCCCAGCCTGCCTGCCTGCCTCCTTCCCAGTCTGCCTGCCTGCCTCCTTCCCAGCCTGCCTGCCTGCCTCCTTCCCAGCCTGCCTGCCTGCCTGCCTCCCTCCAAGCCTGCCTGCCTGCCTGCCTCCTTCCCAGCCTGCCTGCCTCCCTCCCTCCCTGCCATCATGCTAACGGGTAGTGTGTGTTAGGCTTATCTTCGGGAATGAGCCGGTCTCGCCCCCACCACCCTTACCACCGACAAACCACCCGCCCCCTACATCCCATACTCTCTTTTAAAGGTCAGGCGGTTCAACCGCATGACTACCACTCACTCCCTGCCTGCCAGCCTGCCTGCCTGCTTGCCAGCCAGCCTGCCTGCAAGCTAGCCTGCCTGCCAGCCTGTGCCTGCCTACCTGTGCCTGCCAGCCTGTGCCTGCCTGCCTGTGCCTGCCAGCCTGCCTTTCCCTCCCTAATTCTCACTATTTCCGTCCCTTCCTGCCTACCTCCTAGCCTCTCTCCCTACCTCCCCCTCCCTCTTAGCATCTCTCCCTACCTCCTAACATCTCTCCCTACCTCCCCCTCCCTCCTAGCATCTCT